CCATCGTTGTAATTACATATAAAACTTTGTCTATACTCTAATAAAAAGTTCCCCAGACCAAAGAGGTCACCTTAATATCAAAAATATATATATATATATATAATAAACACATGCCAAATTAGACAACTCTTCCCAATGATCACTTGTACCTAAAATTTAACAAATGGAAAATGGAACTTTTGTTGGAGAGATTTAGCATCTTTGTGGTTTGTTTAGAGGTTAACTGCTTTTCTAAGAAACTCTTCTAAAGTAGATGTTTAGCATGCAAGCCAGGAGAATTATTATACAAGATAACTGGCAGGTGGTGCTCTTGTATAAAAAATCTTGGTAAAGTGTGGTGGTGAACTCACTTATTTTTGTCAATGAAGCAAGTTGGCTGTTACTTCAAAGAAGAACACAGGGGAAACAACAAAGTTCCAGTGGTCCAACACACTCTTTAGAAATTTTAGAAGTACCTGCAACCAAATACCTACAAACATATTCTTGCAGTTTTGAAATTTTTTTAGAAATTTTGGCCAAAAAGTGGAAAAATCGGCGTATTCCTTCCAAAAGATTAGCAGTGTTTACTCCTTCCAAATTAGGATGCATCTACCGAAATAGAACCTTCCATGAGCTTATTTGGATTCTGCTTTGCCAAATAAACAATGATAACGGTACTGTTTACAGTATAAAAGATTGGAGAGATTACATGTAAAAATTTTTTAACGTTAAACGTTTTTTTTTCTTTCTACTTCTTTTAGTACATATAGTGTTAGATTAGATTTTTTTCTATGCAACACTATATAATTTTTATAGCCTAATATAGACAATAATAGTATTGTCATAGCTGTCTTTTTTTTGGCCTTTTTCTTCTTGTTTTTTTTTTACTTTGTTTGTTTTTTTTTTAGCTTTATTTAGTTTAGACTTTTCCTCTTTTTTAGTTTTCCTTTTATTTTGTATTTGTTTTTTTCTTTTGTTTTTCATTGGTAGTTCTTCTACCTAGAAGGCTAAGAAAAGAAGATTGAGAAAGAGAGCAGTTATAACAGGCTAGTGAACCAGGTCAGTGATTCAGGAATGGGTCAGTTGAAGTAAAATAAGCTGAACCTAACTGGGAAGATTGAACTCATCTTTGGCAAGTCGCACATGGATCCAATTGGAAACCGGGTGAGCTACATTCCAGATTTTTTGCTATAAAGCATGATGTAATTCAGACAATTCCTTCAGAAAATGTAATATCTTATCAATAAAGCAAGTATGTGACATGGCTATCAATATATATATATATATATAATAAACATATTACTAATTTAAAAATATTATTATTATTATTTTTTTTTTTTAATCTTCATGGAAATTGCTGTGGCTTTGCTTTTTTATTAACAATATATATATAAACTATATGCATTTAATTTATAGAACTACAAGCCCAACTTCATTCAGTTACCTTATAGTCTTTAATGCAACCCATTGTACTAATTTGTGGACAAGCTAGAATTATCTTATCAAAAAATCTAGAAAAAAATGAAAACGAACTATGACTAAAAAGAAGATATAAAAAAAAAAAAAAAAACCCTAAAAAAAGAAAAAATGAGAAAAATAAAAACATTTTATAGAAAAAAGATAATAGTTTGAGAGAAATTTTACCTCTCTACATAACTAGAATGTACTATTATAACCTGTGCAAGGCTGAAAAAAAATTTTAAAAATATTATAATTATATTATTATTATATACTAACAATATATTAATATTATATTTATAATAACTTTATTATAACTATATTTTCTAAAAATAAAAGATTTCAGTAAAGTTTGTAAATTCTAACAACATCTCTTTACACACACAACATACCGTATTCCATTCGCCAAAGTACCCCCCATGTATTGTATCCCTCATAAATTTCTGCAAAATATCTGGGTATAATGCTATGAGTATTTAGATTTCAAACTCTTAGACTTGTAAAATACCCGAGTACATATATTGCTATAATTAATTTTGGTATATATATACAATTTTATACGTATTGCATTATCTATAATACAATTTTTTTTCCTTAATAGCTTTAGTTTAAATACATTGCTTTAAAATATATTTTATGACATTCTTTTTTCAAAGGGTCTTGAAAAAAATACATGAATTTTTAAATTAACAATTATGCTATTTATTATTTAACTTTATTAGCATATCTTTTTTAGCGATTAATAAATGTTCTATTTATTTAAAATACAATAATGTAAATTACAATTAAATATTAAAGAATAAATATATTTGCTTTCTAATAAAATATATAAATTAATAAAAAAAAAAAAAAAATCGAATAAGTTTTTGATAAAAAAAAAAAAAACCAATAAAATATCAATCGAAATTGAAATTCATTTCATTGGCACTCAATATTGTTGGTTTCTTCATCGGTATTATTATTATTATTTTTATTTGTAATATTCTATTCGTTTCTATATTCATTATCTTCAAAATATTCATCACTATATTCATTTTCATCAACATCCATATTCTCATTTTGCTCTAACAAACTATTATAATCAAAGAGTATATGAGGTATTATCTATTAAAACAGCCCTTTTTTGCAATTTTTTGAAAAATGAGTTTTTATTAGATTTATATAAATTTTGACATAATTGATATTTTTCAATTATAAATGAAAGCAGGCTGCATAATAAAAAATCAAGATAATTGTAAAAGAAAAATTTTATGGAGCCATGTAAGGCCAATACATCATGAAATTACTTGATAGTAACCTGTTAAATTTAACCAATCAAAATCAAAAATTTAATTAATCCCGGATCAGTCCGAAAATCAAAACAAATAATTAAACACAATTATTTCAAAATAAATTATAAGTAAAAAAGGACTGTTTTAATAGATAACACTCCATATTATCCTCAGAACCATCAGTTTGTATTGAGATTCCAATGATCTTTTAATAAGATCAACATCAACTCTATCCCATGAATCTCTAACCCAAGTTGCTACAGTTGAGTATGAAGGTCTTTTAATATGGCCTGATAGTATTAAAGTATGAATCGGAGAAGATATCATATATTGTAATATTCTTTAAACTTACCAATATTAATATATATAAATTAATATTATAAAATAATAAAGTAAAAAAAAATAAAAATAAAAATAAAAAATTACCATAGATTTAAAACTTTTATTAATTGCAACATTCAAAGGTTGTAATTTAAAAATGCAACTTGCTGGAATTACAACAAGATTTGTATTTTTTTCTGCTAGTTGGCTTTTTACTGAATTCATAAAATATGCACGAAATGCATCCAATATTAACATTGATCGAGGGTTGTTTAGATGATAGTTATTTGAAGTCCAAACTGTCTCTATTCACCATAGTATTTCATCTTCATTTACCCAACCAGATTCATTAGCTTGGATATAAATATCAGGTGGAAATCTCTACAAGGAATATTTTTTAGTTTGAAAATACAAACAGCTGAAAGCTTAGTACTATTAGCTATACAAGCAAGCATAACAGTAAAAGAGGATCTTTTATGACCAGTAGTACAAATACTAATTGATTTTTTGCCTTTTATATCAATAGAGCTATTGTTTAGTAAATCAAACCACATGGGTGTCTCATCCATATTACAAATAAATTTTAAGAGATAATTATGTTGAATTCTGCGGTATAACACATAATTTAAAAAAGACTGTTGCTTTTTAATTAAATTTGGCACAAGATGTTGGGCTATTGTTGTTCTACATTTATTAGAAAGATTATATCAAACAAGAAATGCATCAAGCCATCTGTTTGAAAATTTAAACTGAATAATATTAGGATATCTTGAGTGAAATTCATTTTGAGACAAAGCCATAGCCTTTTTTGTAATTATATTGCATATAACTGCATTATTACAAGCTCTTGTTACATTAATCCAATTAAACAAATTATTTTCCAAATCAGGATATTTGGCTGGTTTTCCCAAATGAAGTTTTTTAGTATATGGCACAGCTAATAGGGGGCATCCATAAATAATGTTATGTACCCCTATATAGTAGCTCTTGACCCCCCTAAACTATATAAAAATTTTTTAAAAATCTATAAAATTTTACAAAAACTTGAATATATCATGACTCAGTGATCCAATCAGAATTATTTTGGTACTATTTGATTCGTCTCTGTGAGACAAATCCAATGGTACTAAAATTATTTCATTTGGACTACTGGATAACGTTTTATTAATGAAATACTATGGATTTTATAGTAATTTTATAAGAAAACATAATAACCAATAGTATTCCATTAATAAAACATGTTTCAGTGATTCAAATCAAATAATTTTGGTACTATTCGACTCCTCTCCTCGAGACAATTCGAATGGTATCAAAATCATCCAATTTGGACCACTGGATCAAATTTTAATAAAAAAATTACATTATGTTTTTGGGAACCTCCTCTAAATATTGGAAAATCGTTATATTTTGGGGGTCCCCCTCCCCCCCTCAAACATAACGTTATTTATGGATGCCTCTATAATAGATTGTCTTTTTTGTTTTTCCAATCACATATCTGCTTGGGTTCCAAATCAAATTGCTTTGCAGTTCCATGTATATTATTATTATTATTTACAAGGTATTCTAAAATCATAAGTTTTTCTCTAATAGTCCATAAATGACAAACTTTAGAAGACATAGTTTTTTTCTTGGCTTTTTTAAATCGTTTGTTTGCAATACGACCCATTGTAATGTTGTAATATATGTAAATAAATTATGAATTTTTACTTTTACTTTTATACCTTAAATTTTTGAATATAATTTATTAGATAATATGAAGTTACATTTTTAATACAAATATTTGTTTACATATATACCCAGGTATTTTGCAATATATATACCCCTTTTATGTACAATACCTACTCAAGTAAAGTACCCTGATCAGGCTTTAAAATGCCAAAATTTGTAAAAGACCCGAGGTACTTTGGCGAACAGAATATGGTAATTGAATATAAGCAAACCTTTTTACATATACAATGTAATTAAAAGAAGATTAATTTTGCAGATTAAACTTTATTTATTTATTTTTAAAATCTAACTATGCTACAATAGTTAATTGGTCGATCTAGTAAGCTAATCATGTGACTAGCAATATCACTATTTGCATAAAAAGATAATATTCTAATACAAAATAGTTATAAATACAAATTTAAATTTTTTTTTTTTTTAGCTCTTTAATGGTTTTGCCAAAGCTCAAATACTAAAAACTTTATTTAATTAGTAATAGTAAACTGTCTTAAACATAATAAATGTATCTTTCTAAACTAAACAAATTTTTATAAAATTGTGAACTTAATATTACCTGGCTATAGCTTGTTACACCAACTTGTTAGCCTATTGAAAGCTAATTTCTTTAAATCTTCTTTTTTTATCAAGAGCAAAAAAAAGTAATAATTTCATATTTACAATACAAATCTACCAATTAATAAACAAAAAGACAATAAAAATAGAAATAAAAACAATAAAATGAAAGTAAAATTTTAAAAAAAGATAAATAGAGAAACAGTAAAATATAAAAAAAAAACAAAAAAAAAAATTTAAAGACTAATAAAGAGGAGAACTATCTCTATTAAAAAATAGTACAATAGAACAAAGAAAAAAAATTTTGTACTATTATAATCTGTACTAGGTTTAAAAAAAAATTATATAACAAATGCAACATTTGTATATTTGAACTATAAAGCTACATCTTAACAAAATATTTTCCAACTATTAATTAACTTTATATACTTTTTTAACCAAAGACTCTGATTCAAGTCATGTGAAGTTTACAAGTAAACAAGGTACATGGTTGTATTCTACTAAGTTTGTTTGAATTTAGAAAGTAAACAATAAAGAGATAAACCAAATCTTACTTTTTGTTAAAAAATTTTGGAAGACTGACAAGAAAATGCAAAAAACCAAGAGAGAAACTACTTTAATTTAAGGAAAGTATATATATTTTTTCAAATAAAATACAACAACTAATAATCCAAACAGTGCTTTACTTTCAATTTTTAGTAAATACAGTTTCAGATATTACCAAATATAGAAATCAATTTACAACATAGTAAAAAATACTCTAGAATCAATTTATATATTAAAATAGCTAGTAGTGGGATTATAGGCATGTTAATAATAAACTTTTAAATTAATTCTAATATAAGTAGTCTTAAAGTTATGTAGTTTAGGAATCTCTTGTAATCCCAGAAGCTTTATAAGGTAGTTGTTTACCAAATAGTAAACAAATGATGATTGCGTAAATTTAGCTCATAAACTAGTATAGAATAGCAATAGACTTAAATAGAAATATAAAGTATATTCTAAATGTACAAAAAAGATGTGATTTGCATTGTCCAAATTTGGTAATATTCGAGACTGAAGTAATAAATTTTAAACTTGTTAGCAAGTAGCAAATAAGAACTACTTCTAAATGACAAGTATTACTCCTACAATAAGTAATAAACTCTAAAGCTATTAGCAGGTAGTATATAAGAACTACTTTAAATAGCAGTTACCAACTTATAGGTTCAAAACTTATTTCTAGCTATACAAAAGTGGTTATGTTTTTTAAGAAAAATATGTTTAAAAGTTTTGGTCCAAGTGATTGTTAAAAAGAGTAAATACAAATTTAAATTAATATTTAGCATTATAAAAATATTTTAATTATTAAGCTAAAAAAAGAAAAGAAGAATAAAAACCAAATGAATTTTAAAAATAAATAGATAAAGTCTTGAAGATTTTTTAAGTTTTATTTATTCTTTTAAAAATAGAAATTTTTTTAAAATTTTTATAGATTATAAACCTATGAGTTCTTTACTTTTTATGATAAAGATACTATTTGTAACTAAGTAGTACAAAAGTTAAAAAATTTTAACCAAAAAGCATGATTGTAAGCTAATTATTGATTGCTTGAGAATTTTTTGTAATATTTCAAAATTGGTATTCAAATTTGCTATTAGCAAAATAGTATAACAATAGATATAAAGTTTGTGGTTTTTTTTATAATATATAGCAATTTAATAATTAAAAATCTAAAAGTTTTAGAAAATAAGTATAAAGAATTTTTAATAAAAAATTGTAATAAAAATATTTTTTAGTATTTATAAATTTAACTTTTTTATTTAACTATTTATTTGTATATATACATTTATTTAAAATGAATATATTTTTTTATTGATTTAGAATAAATGATATATTTTATATTACAATTTAAAATAAAATACAATCAGCCCCTAAATACTACCTCCCTTAATACAACACCTCTTTAAATATACATCTTCTTTTGGGCCCAACTAATATTATATCTATAGGTTTTTACCTCTCTAAATACACGGCTAGAGCTAGTCCTAGCAATGTGTATTTAAAGAGATCTGACTGTACTTTCAATAAGATTACTTATAACAGTCTATATGAAAATCATGTAATATTTATATAGACTAGTGGAAATAACCTTGTCGAAAAAGCACTGGTTGTTACATTGAATAATTTTTTTAAATTATTCAGTTTGCATAAAATTTTTGTAAAATTTGTAGATAAAAATCATTTAATTATTAGATAATTTCTAATTTCTTATTGCAGTTTGCAGAATTCTTTTTTTTTTTATAATTTACAGATTTCACAAAATTATACAAACTGTAATAAAATGAATTTGATATAATAATTTGATATCGTAATATTGAAGTAGTTTTAAGAAATCAGAAATCACCAAACAATTAAATGATTTCTTTGATAATCTACCAATTCTACAAATATATGCAAAGCATAATATCGATAATCGCAATAACGATAATAATTTATTAAACTAACTATAATAAACTTATAAAATTGTAAAGTTTAGTATTAGGCGATAAAATCAATCTATAAATTATAGTATCTTAAAAAAAAAGGTTTAAAATTTGAAACAAATTGTAAAACTTTGTATCAGATAGTTTATTCAGATTTTTTAATTCAATAAAATACTATATCGATATATAAAAAAATTTAAATACAGTACAGATCTGCAGAAATAAAAAAAGACTTAATACAGTATTATCGAGAAATATTAAGAACGTTACTCTGAGGTATTTGAAAGCTCAAGCCTTGCATTCAATAAACATGAAATTGATTTTATTTTTGATTTAAAGAATAGACATTAATTTATTTTTAATTGGTTTATTTCATCAATAAATTATCAAAACAAGCCAAATTTTTTATTTTTTTTTTTAAAAAAAGGAAACAATTATAGTAAACTAAAATTTGCCAAGGAATCTTCACGTTTTTAAAAGTTTATCCTATCCAATCGAACAAGGCTTTATTTAAAATATTAATGCACAGATACTTTTACAACTTACATAACTAAAGTATTATTAAAAAGTTAAAAAAAAAAAAATAATGCAAACCTATCGCGAGAATAAAACCACATGATGCAATCATTGTAAATTTTTAGAAAATGTACCGACCGTGCATGACATAAAGAAAGTACGCAGGTAGTCTATCATTTAAAAAAAAAAGTTAAATTACTTTAGTCTTTCAACTCCGAGAATACAATCTATCGATATTTTGATATGAGACTTTTTTTGGAAGATCATTAAGATGTACAGTATTGAGATGGTACCTTAGTCAGATGATGAAAAAACGTTTATGGAATCAAATAATAAATTTAAAAAAGAAAATTAGAAATTAAAATAGTAAAGGTAGGTAAAGAAAGATATTCACATAATTTTTAAATTCGTAAAAAATATACAGTAATATATATCTGATATATAATATATACAATATATAATATGTATAATATATACAGTAAAATCATTATCGTTATTATTATTATAATACAACATTTCGGTTAATATAAATCGGGTAGACAATGTATAAATGAGGATGCAAATATGGTAACACGAAAAATTTTTGTACCCCGCATACATTTTAAAGTTTTAGATAAACTTTTTACGATGACGCATTTAAAATATCACGAGAAGAATCTTTGCTAATCGGAATAACTTATTTGTCACCTGATTTGTCATATACAAATAATATTACAAATACATTTTGATAAGCAAACATTTAAAAAAAAATGGATAAGAAAATCTGAAGATCTTATTCGTCATATGTTTACTTTAATGAAATAAAATCTCATTTATTGATTCGTTCAAATAATTTTTTTTAACCCAATTTTTTTCATGAGACCAGTAACTTTAAGTTTTTTATAACTTATTTAACTTGTGTGTATCATCAAAAAAAACCATCCGCTTAATAAACAAATGATATCATTTTAAATTAACTTGTACATTTTATTATAATTCTTTGAACGCTCTTTGAATTCTTTTGTATATATGCATGCATGTATGTACGGTTCCGCCGATAATATGCACATATCAAAAAAATGTATCGGCATAGAAAAATACATATATATATATTTGATATGTATATATCGATATATATAGTATATACGTATGTTTCATTGATACATGATCATTATAAGTTTATAAGTTTATGATAGAGTTATGTTTAATGTACTACTTTTCATAAGACAAAAAAGTATAGGAGATAATTTTCAATAGTAAATCAATACTATTTTGACATTTAAAAGGAGAACCCATTTAACAATACAGATAAAAATGACTAGAATAAGTCGAATGCATGCGAAATAAATTAGTTTGCTTTTTTGAAAATCCTTTCCGAATCTAAAATCAACAAGAAAAAAAAAAAAAAAAAAAAAGAAGAAACGAAGAAAAATATGTTATACCTTTTAATAAATTTTTTATTACCTTAATAAAAAAAAAAGGTTCATAAAATTTCTTTGAAGCAAATTTTTAATTACTTTTATAACTATCAAAATGAGTATATTATTAAGGGTTGTTGTGCGTTTAATCAATAACTTATGTAAGGGATAAAGCTTCACAGTAAGAACAACCACTAATGTAAGATTAAATAGTAACGAAAACAAAAAAAAAAAAGAATATGAATAAATATGAATAAGGAGATGACTGGTTAAAATAATTTGCATTATACGCGAACAAATATTTTAATCCCTACAAAAAAACAAGTATACATTTGTTTAACAAGTAAACAAGTAAGCATTTGTCTACTATTGTCTACTATTGCCTACTATTGCCTACTATTTGTTTGAAACGTTAAAAACTTATTGAAGGGATACATTAGATTACCAAAAGGATAAATTACCAAAGAGATAAATTACCAAAAGGATAAATTACAATAACTAAAGAGACAGAAACTGCCAAAGGGATAAATTACAAACTAAAAAGACAGAGAATAGATTACCAAAGAGTAAATTACCGAATAGATAGCGATTAGATCTAAAAAAATAAACATTTGCGCAGTTAAGATTTTTTTTTTAAAAAAATACAAGATTTAAAACAAGTAATATCCTTTTCTGATTTTTCTGATATTTTTTTTTTTTTTTTTGTAATTAAAGTTTATGACCAAGTTTGGATAGACAGGGCGAATGGTAATATGCCAACTAAAAAAAATGATTGACAAGAAACTAGTTGATGAACCAGTCGGACCCAAGCATTATCCAATGAAAGAAAAGTAATAATAGAAAATTCTATGATTACTAATTACATGAATTCGACCTAAAAAGTAAAATGAGCCAGTTAAGATAATTTGATCACGATCAATGTATAATAAAAAAAATAAAAAGTTGTACAAGTTAAAAAAAAAAAAAACGACCTTTTTTTTTTAAACGCGTTACCCCCATTTAACTATTTTAACTAGAGAAACCCCTTACTAATCGCGTCTAATGAGAAAAATTTCGCATAAAGATCTTCAAGGTTTATTTTCGATTTTATTAGTTTACTTAACTAATATGTACATAAATGCTTTTACCAATGTTTACATTTTTATAAATAATTTCATTTATGCGGTTTTTTTTAAAAAACTAAATCTGAATAACTTGATTAATTAATAAATTGAATGATTGAGAATGATTGGATTGTGATTGGATTATGATTGGATGATGATTGGATTATGATTGGGGATGTTCTAATGTTCTTTTTTTTCTTAAAAATAATAGATATATTACATATATATTTCAGTATTTAACAATATGATACGTATCAAATATAACTTAATACAGTAATACGTATACGTATACGTACGTACAGTGTTTAAGTAAAAAAGTATATATACAGTATATATGCATATGTATTTTACCCCAAGTCAAACCCCGTGATATCCAATATATCCAATATATCCAATATTTTCTATACATACATACATACATAAGTACGTACGTAGGTACGTGCCATATACATGGATAAATGTACATTAGATGCTTTTAATTAATTTTAGTACATTTTAACCATTCACAAGAAAAAAAAATACGAATAAATCAGCTTATTTAATAATATAAATGATAATATTGTAGTTTAAATGGAAGGGTGAAAAAAGGGGATAATACAGTAAAAAAGTAAATTTCTACAAAGTAAAAATTTTTACATATTGTTACGTACGATCTGTTACGATCAAGTTAAAATTACACAAAATACAAAAGTATACATATAAATGCAGGAGATTACATATTTTGTGTATTTTGTGTATTTTGTGGAGTCAAAAAAAAATCTTAATAACTATAATGCTTACGATAGTGGTTTACTAAATTTATGCTCATAGTAAAAGTCATGTCTTCCTTGATTGTTTCAAAATTTGTCAAATTCATTCTCTTCTTCTAATAATAGTAATTAGATTCGTAAAACATGACTCTCCCATGTAATTTATATATCATGGTAATCATGATAATCATGTAATCATGTATATAATCATGTAATTATATATATATATAAATCATGTAATCATTGTAATACTTTATTAGTTTCACGACATTCAAGAGTCTCATCAAATTTTTTCATTTATGATTTAAGCCTCAACTGGGCTTTTAAACCATAGTTCGACACACTGTTCACACATTCTCCATATACTTCTCCATATTTACCATACTTACCATATTTATCATATTTACCATATTTATCATATTTATCACATTTACCATATTTTACCGTATTTACCATATTTACTGTATTTAGGTTATCGACTAGTTATCGTCATAGCCCGACTATAAACATGATCTGCGGTCAACCGGACTGATTCTTATTATTATGTTGTATATATATGTTGTATATGTTGTATATGTTGTATATGTTGTATATATATGTTGTATAATGTTGTATGATAAGCCGACAATGAAAAAATGTCTCGGATCGCAGCCATTGTTGAAAAAAAAAATTTGGTTATATCAAGTTCGGTAAACGGATAAGACTGCCGACTAGTGTGGCTTTTTTTTTTTTTTTTATTTTTTTTTTACGTAGTAAAAAAAAAAACGATGAACAATTTATATTTCGATTGTCTTTTAATCTTGGTCGTAAATGGTATAATTATTCTAATTCATTCTAATTCAATCTAATTCATTCTAATTCAATCTAATTCAATCTAATTCATTCTAATTCATTTTAATTCATTCTATTTCATTTTAAATCAATTTTTAAACAAATATTAACTTTAATTATTATAGGATATAAGAATATTATGAGAATGATGGGCTTAAATATAATCATTGTCGTCTTTTAAAAGTATAAATTTTGGAATTATCGAATGTATTATATTGTATTGTACTGAGGTTTTTTTTTTGTTTGGCGGGCTATGTCGATAGGTGTGATAAAAGAGAGAACGGAAACAATGAATTGTAGGAAATCTAGGAGTCGTTGAGGCTTATCCCATAAATAAAAAAAAAAAAATCACTTTTTTAAAAAGATTGTGTTCTAAATATACATTTACATACATTGCGCAAAATTGCGTTACCATTTATCATTAAAAATTTCTTGATAATTTACCGAAGCCTCGAAAAAAAAAATCATTAAAAATAGAGGCGTCTTTGCTAATTCTAATGTTTAAAATCTAATACAATAAATAAGTTTATAGTTATTTTGAATGACAAGCCTTCTCACTGCCTCATAATCAAATTAACATTAGTGTCACATCTCCATATGACTACGTAGTATGACCAACATGATTATTATGATAAATATAGAAATTTAAACAATATAATAATTTGTATGAATTTGTTAAAGCCTATTGCTCACGTTGCGGCTTTTTAAATGACGCGACTTTAATTATGATCATAAGCCCCACTGAACGCGAGAAAAGCCTCTTTACGCCTCTTTTATTTTAATACTATAACCAATTATATTTATCATTCGAGATTGTGATAATTAAGATTATGGTCTATTGATAGAATTTTTAAACTTACGCAAGCCATTAAAAAGCCTCCCATAGCCTCACTCGCCAATCCATAATGTTAACACCAAGTAACAACAATTATAATTAAAAATTAACTTTTCAAAAAAAAAAAAAAACATGAAGAATTTTAAAAATCGTATTACTTTACTATAACGTCGTAACTATATTTTACTAGTTACCTTACTAGTTACCTTACTAGTTACCTTACTAGTTACCTTACTAGTTACCTTACTAGTTACTTTACTAGTTAAAGAACGAGAATTGAGTTGCTTATTGTGTATCAACAAATCAACTTTAAAAAAATCGAGATAAAACTTGTTAGATTATAATTTGTCCAAAAAAACTTGTAAAAAAAAAAAGAAAAATTATCATTATATAATACTTTTACTGTCAAATATTATATAATGCTCGCTAGATGTATGCTAATGATCGAAAAAAGATCTGAAAAAAAAACCTGTTCTTTTTATGATAATAATTCGATCAATTTTTTTTAAACTATTTGAATGATTTAAACTACATATATTACATCTATATATTACATCTATATACAGTATTACATCTACATATTACATATATATATTACATATATCTGTATATTGATACCTATATACTTATTTAATACTTATTTAATACCTATTTAATACTTATTTAATACTTATTTAATACTTATTTAATACTATACTATATACTCAAATTACTTTTGCTTGATGTATACTTTAAAGTTATATTAATGTCACACCCCAATTTAAAAATCAGCAAAAATCCGTAATTGTAGATAAAAACTCTTGATAGACTTCACTTTTTGATATTGACTTTATAAATACTTGATTTACAGTGTTACAAATAGAGAATTTTATTACCTAAAGAAGGGTGAAGATCGGGTCGGATTAAAGAAATCAATCATATGGATATATTTAATGAGAAAAGGAAAGAAGGGGCTGTTTGTTCAATTTAGATAATTAGATTGCAATATGAAAAAATGATTTATATCCTTTAATCATCTCTTTACGAGAGTACTATTTTTAAAATTAAAATGATTACTACAATTGTTTTAAATATAAGCTGTATAATTTTTTTACGTATCAAATTCTTTTTTCATGTATACAACAAGTTAATATCTAAAAATGCAAATTCTCCGGTTTGCTAATCTTTGGTTTACAAAAACATTTAGCAGTTAGCGTTAGAAGTAAATAATTTTCCCCTGCTTTTTTTTTTGCTTTTTTTATTTCCAATCTTGGAAAAATCAAGTTTTTATAATCCCTTTTAGTATATGAGTATCTATGAGTATATGTGACACAACACGACAGTATTATGACTCTATGAGAAAAAAATTATCCCGATTTTTTATGTTGATCAGGAAGAAATTCCCAACATATCGATATCGATCGATGAAGTATCGATATAATCGTCATAGAACTTTTTTAAGAGGTTTTAATGATTTAAAGTTTTATTTTTACCGGTTTTATAAGAAAGTTATTTTTCTTTTAAAATCGTATTCTTTTTAACATATAAATATAAATAAATAAAAATTATAGGTTAAACATAATTGAATTGACAATTAGATGACAGTAGATCAAATTACTTAGAATTACTTAGAATTACTAGTTTTAAAATTTTAAACTATTGTAAAGAATTACCAAAATTGTTTAGAAACAATTTTTTTTTTTTATATCGATATAAAAATTTTTTTTTATTTTGAATTCTTTGATAAACCAAAACTAGTTTTTAAAAAAAGATCATCAATGCTGTAATCTATAATTATAACAATTATACAAATTTTCAATACATACCTAGATACATACATTACATACATATCTGTATGTACAGTATCGGTATGTACAACTTTAAAAATATTTTCAAAAATAATGAATGCTACAATTAATCAAAAATTCGTAACAATACAGTACAAATATTACGTTCGGTAAAGAGAGAGAAATTAAAAATAAGATTATAATGGTAATAATAAAATAAATAAAACTGAAAATGGATACATGTACGTAGTTAAGCGTAATAAGGAGATAAAAACAAATAAATTAAAAACAGTAGTAGATAACAATAAAAATACTGTAGAATTTTTTTTTTCGCGGTGTTAGCCGGGATCACACAATTTTGGCGCCATGAGAGCTACAGTAATAATGAGTGTTTAACACGTGAAATATTTGAAATATTTGAAATATTTTCGATAACCCGATAAAAAAAAAAATTGTTTGACTATATTCGTAAATCAAGGAAAAGTATGAAATTTCCCATTCATGTTTATTAGGAAGAGATTTTTCTTGTAAACTTAAAATAACAAAAAAAATAATAACTTATAAAATGCATAATCGAATTAAAATTTGCGTATTTTATTCATTACTTACTATTACTTACTATTATATACTTATTATTACTTATATACTATTATACTTATTATTACTTACTATTACTTACTGTTACTATTGCTTATAACCACTTATTATCGCTTACTATAATCAAACAAAAATTTTATTGTGAGACATTAAAAAAATTGAAACTATGCTAATTTAGAAAATAATATTATAATGATATTATTGTAAGAAATCATAATATTTACAAGATAATATAGAATGATTTTTTTTTTAAAAAAGGATATTATTTAACATTAAAAGATAATAGAAAACTTTTGAAAATTTTCTTATATATTATCTGCTATTGATTTCGAATTATGACAGATCAATTTCTCATACATACGTATTCTCTCTTAATACGTAAGATACTTAATACCTGATACGTACGTACGAACGGATGAACATACGCATGTACTGTACGTACGTACGTATGTATGTACTGTACGTACTTGGTAGATTATTTATTCGCCTCATTTGAACTCAAAATTTATGATTTATTCGCCTCATTTGAACTCAAGTTATGTTTATTCGCCTCATTTGAACTAAAGGTTATGTTTATTCGCCTCATTTGAACTAAATGTTTTACTTTTATATTTAAGAATTTTTTTTTCGTTATGAACAAAAATGTAGATAAAGTGTGTTATGAGAAAAAGATTTATATGTAATAATCAAATAAATGTGTTAAATTTTTTTTGTCAAACAATAATCGGATGTTTAACATCGATCACAATTTTTTACTCATTACACAATTTTTTCAATTTTTTTTAGTAATTACACAATTTCAGTCATTATTTGAGAAATGGTCCAATCATATTTAAAGAATATATTTAAAGAATATAACGTGAATATGTGATACTTTAATATTGATCTTTTGTGGCTTGTATTTATGCAAAAATGATTGTGGCGGTGCATTATCAAACGAATCTAGGCTTGCATAGGCTTGTATAGGCTTGTATAAATGCTAGGTAAAAATTTGTAAACTTTATGTTTTTGATTATTTTTTCTTTACTCCGACTTCTCTTCCATATCTAATCAATTATTTAGCTGTATATTTAGCCTTATTCTAGCGGTATTTAGTAATATTATTTAGTTAATTTTGATACATATCAATTTGGTCGGTCTTTGGATGTTCGTGTTTAATTTATCTAAATTTGGATAAATTAAGGATAAAGTAAAAAGAAAAAAAAGCAAGAAACGTTCCATATATAAATAATATATATACATACCGTATATATATATACTCTATTTATACATAATGATGATAAATCACTTTATCTTAATGGTATTAATCGTCAACGCTTAGTTTGATTGTTATTGAGATTCTGATACAATTTGATACAATTTTGTATAATTTTTGATACAGTTGAATACAGTTGATCGTTGTTATCATAGTCACGAAAATAGAATTCTTTTTTTTCGCGATTCTATTTTTATTACTTATCTTGGCATTTGACTATTTGAATTTAACTATACGTACAGTACCAGGTACGTACGTGCTGTATACGAATACCTGAACCTAACTACTTTGAAACCTAATTTAAATATTTTTGAACTTAAACTACTTGAATCTAACTATATACCTGAATTGAATACAATACAACAAAACAATAAATATAAATAATAATTGTCAAGTGTGTCAAGTATGTCAAGTATGTCAAGTCTAAGCTACGAATTCATTTTCGCGTCAATTTTTATTGAATGACTTGGCATAATTCAAAACGGGGTAAATAGTATGAAATAGAAAAAAAAAAAAAAATATTGTTGTAATTTGCTTGCTTGTTTATACTGTTATGTCTTCTAAGGAAAAATTTTCAAGTTTTATTACATTTTTGTTTTTGCTTTTAATTGTTAAAAAGAATTTTCGAAAGAAATTATCTATACAACCGTGATCCTTGTGAAAAACGAGAATATTTTCTTTTAGTGAAACATTTTGTTCATAATCTCATGACTTAAAATGATTGTGCGTAGTCACTGCGAAATTTAAAATCGAGAGGCTCAATCTGTTATGCCATTAAATTGTTAAATGATTGTTAGTTCAAAAATGTGTTCTGACAATAAGTATTTTCATCAGGTTACTTTTTTTAACTATGACAAAATGATGCGTGATGCAGTATTATCGTTATCGTTATCGTAATCGTATTAAATAAAAAATTCAATAAAGAATAAAGAATTTTTTAAAAAGTTCTCGAGAAAAAAACGTAAAGTGTGGCCAGGATTTCAATCAAAATACCCATAAAATACTCATAAAATACTCATAAATACTCATAAAATACTCCTAAAAACTCATAAAATACTCCTAAGTAAAAATTGTGATTTTTTTTAGTGGCCCGAATTATTTAAGGATAAATTAAAAAATTCAAGCCTGCGGGATGAAACAGTAAACGCCACAAGTCTCACAATATTTATATTAATCTTGTTTATTTAACTATATGATATACTTTATTCAATATTCATCCGACAATTATATACGTATCAGGACTAAATAATCCTGTATTTATGTAAACTGCGCATCTAATTTACGCAAAATGTCATTATATGCTCTCAAATAATATTTTTAATGTTGTTCGCTGCAAATCTGGTTGTTTTTGTAATTCGTATTTTTTATACGCTATGTTTAAAATATGATTACATTATACATTACAATAATATATTATATATTATTTTATAATATATCATACGTAATATATTTATTATTATAATATTATTAATTTATTATATGATAATGTACCGGTATTTTTTTTTTTTTTTATCATTTATTTATTTATTACTTTATTTAAAAAAGTTTTTTATATATAACAACTACATAGTACATATCCTTACATTCAAACATTCAAAAGAGCGAATATATTAAAAAAAGCTTTTTTTTTTTTTTTATAAATAAAATCTACTTTATTTTACTTGTTTATATAAATAGGGTGAAATCCGCTTTTATAACTTTATACTTTTTATTTTATTGTTTACCATTTTTTTTTTCAAGTGGAACAAGAGAAATTATAAAGATTATTATATTTTAGTAATTTTAGTAAATTTTAGTAAATTTTAGTATTAAAGTTTTGCTTTCCCTCTCATCGATTTTTTTTCCCATACAAAGATCTTACTTACGAATATCGTTTAAAAAGAAATCCACTTTTCTATTTTTTTTTTATCTTTTTTCTTCTCTCTTAACGATCTCTCTTAACGATCTCTCTTAACGATTATTCCTCATAATGGCTCCATTTTTGCCAGCCGATGTTTTATGTCAAATATTTCAAAATTTATCAGATCAAAAATCTTTATATTCTTGTTTATTAGTAAATCGTTTATGGTGTGCAACTTCTGTAGAATACCTTTGGTCAAAACCTTTTCGTTTCATATATACTTGTAATTTCTTATCTTGTACTTGTCATAAAGAATCAAGAATTTCTCGAAGTTCTAAACTAATTGAAATTTATCTATCTTGTCTAACTGAAAAAGAAAAAATTTTATTATTGGAAAATGGTATTAAATTACCTTTTGAATCTCCTTTATTTGATTACGCTGCTTTCATTCGTTATCTGGATTTAGACGAATTTTATATCGCTATAAGAGATTGGATGGAGTCAAATCTTCTTTCTTTAACTAATGGTCTAATCGATCATAGTTATGATTCAAAACAATTAATGGATTTTGGAAAATCTTTAAAAAAACAAAAAAAATTTAAATTATCAAAAGTTGTTCGTTATATAACGAAATCTCTTGGTAATAGAAGAAAAATTGATGATAAAAGTGATTCTGATACTACAAGCATCGATACTACTATAACTACTACTTCTTCTATTTTATCAACTCCTGTTACTACTCCTACTTCTCCTACCGCTCCTCCTTCAAGTCCTATCTTATTATCTTTACATCCTCGTGAACGTTTGGTTACTGAAGTTTTATGTCGATTATTAATGAGGAGATCTTCTACTATTAAACAATTATCTATCGATCGAACTTATTCAACTCGTGATCTTGATGAATTTAGGTGCTCTTCTTTACCTCCTTTATTGGATCGTTTTCAAAATACTCGTCCTGTTCCTGATCAATATATTATGTTACCTACTTATCCTGGTGCTATTTCTTGTCTATCTTCTTTAAGTGAATTAATATGTACTACAAGGCAATCAAAAAGGAAATTATTTGATTTATTAAGTGATTTCTCTTTTAAAATTCATAAAATTTCCGTTATGATGGATTATTCTTCAAATAATTGGCACGGTACAAGGTTAAGAAAAGATGAATCGGATCTTGAGGATGAAGCTAAAAGTTTGGCTAATCTTATTCGTGTTCAACAATCCTTACAACATTTCGAAATTTATTGTTGTGAAAATGGTTCAAATATTATAATGGCTGCTCTAAAAACTCATTCAAAAAATTTAAAATCTTTAAGTTTTATTGACGTTAGATTTTGGGGTTGGGATCCTTTGGATTTTATTTCTGATTGTCAAGATTTAAAAAAATTAATTTTTAAATCTTGTTCTGGATTAACAAATGATTTACTTGATTCTTTAATTGATTCGGAATTTCCTCAACTTACAACTATTGAATTGGAAAATACTTCGGCTCCTGTTCATATTCTTGAATCTTTAATCAAACATGGAAATAACAATATCCTTACTTTAAATCTTGGTCAATATAAGAACACTTTAAATAATTCTTCAAATATTATTGAAACTGTGGCAAATCATTGTCCAAATCTTATCTCTTTCAAGTCTTTTATTGAATCCGATGAAGTTCCTCAATTGGTTTCGTTATTCACTCTTTGTACAAATCTTCAATCAGTAACAATTAATGGTCCTCGATCTCCAGAAATTGATGTGAATCATTTATTTCTTGAACTCTCATCACAAGAGCTTCCAAATTTACGAGATTTAGCAATATTAGGTTCTTGGTCATTCCGATCTAATTCTTTGAATCAATTTTTATCCGGCTCAAAACCACCTTTGAAATCTTTACAAATACAAAATTCAAGATGTTTTACTGATTCTCATCTTGAAGTTATATTGAAAAATTTATGCTCTGAAGCTTCTTCAAAGTGCACTTTAAAAGATTTAAGATTACATATTACTTCTCAATTAAACGAAGAATTAATTGATAAAGTACGAGAATGCGTTAAAGAAGACGGTTTGGTGCAAGTCGATTATTGGGAATCTGTTATTAGGGTAAGGATTAGTAGGCTATCTTCTTTACCTAAAATTACTTGGCGTAATAATAATAGTGGTAGTAAAAGTAAATACCGAGTGTGCGGTACTTAGCGATAGTCTTTATATTTATTATATTTATTATTTATATAATATTGCAATATTAAGAAATTTCATTATACATATTTTTTTTTCGTTATATATAATTTTTTTTAGTCATAGTTTTTAATTTTTTTAATTTATATATAATTAGTATTAAAAGTTTTATATATTGTAATTTCATTCAATTAATCTTTTTTTCAATTTTTTTTAATTCTCTTAGGAAATTTCCGTTTCATCACGAAAAGTACGAAAAATCCCACAACTTTTTTTTAATAATCTTATTAATATTTGAATAAGGAAACGATTGAATCGGTTTTTTTTTTTTTGAGGGGGGGGGTGAGTGCCTCCCTGATTCATTAAAGAAAAAAATGCTCAAAACGATGAACAATTATTGAAAAATTATTTTGATATTTTACTTATTAATTAATTAATGATTATAATGATTAATCAATTACTGTTATTACGTTATTACGGTTATTAATGTTATTAATGTTATTATTACTATTACTGTTACTCCTTAACAATTACTATTACTACGTATAGTTTTTCTAATTACGATATTCACTTACTGAATAACACTTAATTTGTACGTAAAAAAAAACATATTTTCTAATATTAAAAAAAAAAAAAATTATTTTTTTGAAAAAAGTTTTTTTCTAATGATTTATCATATGAAATTAATACTATTAATATCGATATCGATTATTGATATTTACGAAATTCAATTTATCGTAATTTTAGTTTCTTTAACGCATATATGCACATTTATAGTGATATCGTTATAGGCATGATCATGATTTGAACCTAATAGCGGTATATAATATATATATATATATATATATTGTATATTGCTTTCCTTTCTAAATTTACACATTTAACCCTTGAATATCAAAAAAATTTGTTAAAGATATGATTTCATATGTGAAGTCATAATTTTTTTTGGTCTCACAATTGTGATTAGTGTTCTCTGATCAAAAAATACTGTATCATTTGTTACTTAATATTATACATACATATTTAAAAAATCCAATCAGTTATTGATTAGCATAAAGTATATATAATATGATCTATTTTACATTATCGTTATTATGATGTAAAAGGGATCAGATCAACCGAACTCCAAACACTATATTCACGAGGATCACTTCTCTATACCAATTAAATCAAGTAAAAAAGATCTTAATAAGTGTAATTAATTTTATTTTAAATTGAATATCAGGATAAATTCGGTGTCTTTAAACTACGAGAAAGGGAGTTGATAAAAAAGAAACTTATATATAAATAGTAACAATTGTGTATTAATTTTGTCTTTTAAAATTTATTACTTTGAACAAAAATAAAATAAAAAGGAGATTTTAAACTTTATCTCATACGTATTAACGTTAAATTGTCGGTATTTTAGCTTATTTATAATTTACAGAATTGATCACCTGAATTAAAAAGTATTTATACTATATATGAAATACGTATAAAATGTTAATATTTTAACCTATATACAATATTAATATATATATATATATATACTTATATATACTGTATACGTATACAATATCGGTATATATGTATTTAAATAAAAATAATTTTAGATTTACAATTTTTACTCCATTTTTGATTGTTCGGAATTATTAACGTTAATAATTTTATAAAAATAACACATATATATTTAGTATATATATAGTGTACAATATAATACGTATAATATATATACGTATACGTATATTGTTGATACGTACGTATATACATATCTTAATCCGTATTTATATACGTAAGAATACCGTAATCAAAAATTGGATAATTTTTACGAACGTACGTACGTACTATATAATAAAATATATATTTTAATTTTTAGATCTTGTAATTATACTTTTAAAAATCTATTTTTTAAAAAATTTTAACTTTAAATTAATTTGTTTAAATAAATTTTTAAAAAATAGTTTTAAATTTAAATTTGGTTATAATATTGCAATAATACTGTAATTACTGTTTATATAATTAAATTTTATTATAAAATTAATAGTAAATAAAATATAATATGAAATCTTTGCTAAAAAAATAAAAATTTGAGGGTATATAGATTTTATAAATAATTTTTTTATTTGTAAAAATAATAAGCTTTATAAATTATAAATATATTTAAATTATTGTATTAATAATTACTATATACAGTATATCTAAAATAAGCTATTTAAAAATATGCTTGATTTGCTTTTTCTTACTTATTAATAATCATTTTTTAGTTTATAAATGTTTGCTATTTTGATGCTTTTTATGTCTATTTTGAATAGTTTTGAATTATTTCAAATATTTCAAATATTTTTTTGTAATATTATATAATATATTTTGTAATATTTTATTATATATTTCGAAATATTCTGCCTAGATCATAATTATTGCACAATATTTTAGAGCATAATAATTTATATAAGTTTATGTTTATATATTTTGCTGATATAATTTATTTGTACTACAGTATCTTGTTTAATAACAGGTTAAATATTTTGTATATATACATGTTATTTATTTAATTAATAATATAAATATATAGATATATATTATATATATATATATTATGATATTTAACAAACTCTCATTAAATAGCCTTTTTTTAGTTAATTAACAATATGAATAAATAAATTGATAATTATAATTTTTATAACTTCATGATAAAGTGAAAAAAGAGTTAAAATTAAAAAAAATTTTTTTTAACTTTAAAGATAGAGTGTACGTAAATCATTTATTATATGATATGTGTTGTCAATCCTTTTGTGTAACAGTTTATATAGTAAACACAACTCTAATTGGGTAATTACCTGTTTTAGTAATAATTTTACTATTTGTTTTTTTGTATAACCCCAACAAATTTGAAACCCTTCTAGCAAATTTAACTATATGAGGAAGTAAAAAAAATAATTTAGATTTAGCTAGTGGTAAAATTTACTGGCTTAAAAATTGTTAGGATTAGGTTAGGGTTAGGTTAGGATATTAAGATTTTTTTTATATAAAATAACATAGAGCTAATAAAAGGTCCTGATCTTAGTTTTTATAAAGTTTTTAGGGGTTTTGAACATTTTTACTTAGAATATCTGATTCCATTTATTTAGTATGTTTTTGAGATATAGCATCTCCGGTAAATTTCACCTCTGGTGAGTATTAAGATCATCCTTTTTTAAAATAATATGATCTAGAAAAATTTTACTACTATAAATAAAAGGTTTAATTTGTATATTATTCAATTTTAGTAAAAATTGATAGTAATTTCAAAAACTTTTATTAATGACATATTGTAATTTTATATATATAATCTTATTGTACCACAAAAGTCATATAATAAATAATCGAAATATACTCTACCTTTAAAGGTTTGTTTAACAAATATATATATTTAAAATTATATGACAAACAAGTTTGCTTAAGTAGATTATCTAACAAAAAAATAGTATTTTATATTGACAAACTGAAAATTTTATAGATAACTTACTTTTTTACAAGATAATTTACTTTTGTAATTTAATTAGAGAATGCCTATTTCCACTATGGGTTATACAAAATTTTATATTTTTTTCTATTTTTAGTATTTATATAGTAAAAATTAGTTTTTTAAAAATTAAGAAAGTTTTTAATAAGTAAATATTTCTTCCAGTCTTAAGTAAACTTGTAGAAAAGACTTTTCTGGTTCTAATAGCGGTTAGATCATCAAAATCAGCTTGGTGGATCCCAAGATATTTGGGGTTAAAGGCGCGAACATAAAGATCTACAAATTCACTGTTACACAAAGTATT